TCCTAGTAGTAAGGCCAGGAGCCCCTAGTAGCTTCTTGTTCCTAGTAATAAGGCCAGGAGCCCCTAGTAGCTTCTTGTTTCTAGTAGTAAGGCCAGGAGCCCCTAGTAGCTTCCTGTTCCTAGTAGTAAGGCCAGGAGCCCCTAGTAGCTTCTTGTTCCTAGTAGTAAGGCCAGGCAGGGGCCCCTGGTAGCTTCTTGTTCCTAGTAGTAAGGCCAGGGGTTCTTGTTCCTAGTAGTAAGGCCAGGAGCCCCTAGTAGCTTCTTGTTCCTAGCAGTAAGGCCAGGAGCCCCTAGTAGCGTCCTTACCCTCTTTTCATCTTCTGAGGTCTCACTCTGGGTCGGATCCCACCGTCCACTCGTTTCTGACTGCGGTATGACTCCGTTTTCGGTCAAATGAGAACGCAGTTCCGGTTACAGAGATCCCTGGGGACCCACACTCTTAGGAGTCTCCGTCTTGAGTTGGTCACACCTTTTCGGTGTTCGACCAAAGCCGACGGCACCGAGGCCACCGAGGACCGAGCGACCCAAGAGTCGCCTTGAGTCTCCAGGAACCCAATTGGCACTTCGGATGCGGCGAAGGTCGGAGTTGAACCGAAAACGGAGACCTCATGCCCCATATGGCATCCGTCCGAGGGGGTTCTCTGGCCCACGTCCGAAGCGGTGCTGTCAGGAGTATTCTGGCCAATCTTGGACAGGCAGCTGGCCAGTCAAAAAACAAACACCTCCTGTATCATAATATGGTGTTGCCGGTGGGCCGCCCCGTGTTCAAAGTATTGCCGAAGTATGCGGCGAGGTGTGCGAAGCCGCAGTTCTGGTTCACACTTTGCATGAGCCGATGCAGCATTTCCTTGTGATGAGCAGCCAAAACCTTCAGCTGCAGGTCGAGGCATTATTCACCTCCCCATGATGAGATCGAACCCTGCAGGACCAATGACTCAATGGTGGTCAACCACAAGCTGGGGGGCCCTGTCTAGCTTGTTTTCTAAGGAAACTTCACAAGGAATCGAGTGGTGTCGAGTCTCCACCCTGTGGTGTCGAGTCTCCACCCTGTGATGTCGAGTGACCTCCTCCTCCCCACTGAGTCCTCAGACACCTCCTGGAAGTCCTTTCCATTTTCCTCGGCCCAGAGCCTTACCCTCAGTGCGAGCTGGGAGAGATCCAGCAGCAACTGAGAACCAGTTGCTGGTGCCGAACCGGGAGAGATCCTGCGCCTCCTAGAACCCTCAAAACCATTCAAAAGCCAATACTCGTGCGCACGTCCATGGATCAACGAGGGGTTCCGTTCACCACATGTCTTTTCCTGCTTCCACCACTTGTGGACTTCGTTAGTAGTGAGGAAACGGAGGTTCATGATATTCATATTATGGCTCAATACCAACACCCCAAGTTCGCGCAGTAGGTGATGAGTGCGTCATTTTGGAGAGTAGGGTGATAAACTATTCCACCCACACATCTTGAGGAAGACGAATGGGCTGCCCTGCCCACGGAGCAAGGCTTCATCCTCTTCTTCCGTGAAGTGTACGTTCTTGAGCTGAAGACCATCGCGATAATTCCAACACTTCGAACACGTCGGAGCACACCGAAGGCACGGGGAACCCGGCCCGATGTCGGATCCAAAGCAGAAGTGGGATGAAAAATGGGTGCAAAGGCGTCGCTTTCGTGGTTTTCTGGGCTGAAAGAGCTGGGTTAAGAAATGTTTTAGAGTAAAATGGATCTCGCCATCAGACATGAGGGCCACTTCTCTAGAAGAAAGAACAATGAGAACGGACACTACTTGGGCAGCACGAACCAAGCAGATTTCGCAAGCTAAAGACAACTGGAAACACATCCGATGAATGCCATTCCAAGAGTTGAGAGACAAGGAGGTGTTAGGCTAAAAACATCCTTGCCAGGCTTGGAGGCCCTGAGGATGTTACTCATGCTTTAGCGCAGTTGGGCCAAGGATTCCGTGGCCGTTTGTCGATACCCAGAGGATCCCAGAGGTTCCATTGTCTCGGTTCTACCGAGAACCGGGGTATGAAGGTCTGGGCCGGTCTGGGATATCCACGTGTCCGATGTGTGAACATATGAGCTAAGACCTGCGACTGTATAATCCCAGACCTTATGTACACCTCTATTTCAATCGAGTTGGTCGCAGCTAATCCACTATACAGTCATTGTACTAATCCTGGTGTCTTCGACCACTTCCAGAAGCGAGGACCGACTTCCTCCGTTCCGAATCGGCTTGGCAGCTCCGGAGCCGCTGGTCGAACACGAGCAGTGCCCATGGGGCAAGTCATGGGGATTTGAGGCGGGGAGAACAAAAGAAGTACCAGTCCAGGATGTATACATGGCCAGATGACCTGGTCAGAAAAAAAGAATCCAATATGCAGGATGTATGATGATGTATAGATCATTTATGACCACCCCAGTCCAAAGCAGGTGGCCTAGCTGTGGAAACTAGGGCGGACTGAGGTGAACTTACTCTCAGAACTGAGCAGGCACAAACGGAGTCATTGGAGGTGGTCTAAACAGATCATTTCGGGTCGCAAAGGAACGGCTCGCTATACCTTGCTTTGGCTATGTTTGGGTTCTCTGGGGGTGCCATGTAGCTAGTTGGCCAGAACTATGGGACCATGAGACCTTCGAAGTTGTTCTCACATGGAACTGGAGCATTCTGCCATACTTGGGCGCTGCAACGGGGCCGTCAGAATTCCATGCAGGATCCATCCCAACTGCTCACCCAAAACAACTCAACTCATGCCATTGGTCCCCTCACCAGCTCCACCGCCTCCACCGCCGGTCAACCGGTCTCGCTCGCCTTCGCGCCGTCGTACGACGCGTCGGGAGCCCATGCCTTCCGCCTCAGCGGCGAGGTCGTTCGGAACAGGGGGGTGGTCGTTCACGCGGGGGTGGTCGCCCGCAGGACAGATCGGGGGGGCCACCAAATGACTGGCTGAAGCCTCTATTTGGTTAGAGTGACCTCAGATTGCGGGGTGAGAATGTTGTGGCTTTTCAGGGCGCCCTTCTCTTCAAACCTGGGAACACAGGATTGGGGGAAGGATTCTTTCAGCGGATGAATTTTTGCAGAGGAATTGAAAAGACTTGGTGGAGATTTGAGGGTGATCTGGCTTGGCTGACTAAAGACACTCTATATAGCCTTCCAAGACCATTTTAACAAATGGCTGATCTCATTTTGTAGCTAGTCCAATATCCTTAGTAAAACAATGCTTGTTCAGTAAGAACCCTTAAATCATCTTATCTTATATAAATCAATTGGTGTTTAAAATCCTAGGGGACACATGGGACCAGAACAGCCTGGTGAACCCTTGCGGCCACATCTGCTGACATCCCTTGGAGGATGGTCCAATCATGAACTCAAGGTCTCCGGCGAAGCTCAAGCAGAGCACAGGTCGGATGAACAATGGATAAATGGGTTTAAAAAAAAAAACACATGGAATCCCCCAACGATTGGCCAATTCCTCATCCTACAGCTCCCTCATGTATTCTGCATCTTCAAGCCATCATCCGGATCAGTAGATATATATATATATGTCGAAACAAAATACTGTATTTTTGGGCTACTTGTGCTTCGTAAGATTCCACCTGTTCCTAAACTCAACACCAGGCAACTGCCTACTTGGTGATCTATTCATCTATGGGGTCCAAACCTGGGCTGCTTGAGTCGGTTCCGCTGCTTGGTCCGGGAAACGAACGACGGGTGACACCCAAAGATCCCACCGTGCGGATCCATGATGAGGACGTGAAATGAAAGGAATCCTCCAAGAAAAAGAAATTGAACTGGCAGGTTCCATAGTGCCATAGTGCAGGTTGACTTGGACCTCTAAAGTTATGGTACATGTGTAGTAATATATATATATATATCATAACTTTGGCAAGGAGGATCTGACCCTAAGATTGGACCAACTCCGAACCAAAGTTCATGTTCACATCCAGTTACTCACATCCGTTGGCGGATTTGGTTCCGTGCCCTGCGCACCACCGGCACGCTGCGAGTCCAACTCCATCCCCCGACGACGCTGGGAGCAGCAGCTCGAGCCCGTCGACGAAGGGAGGCCTCGTCCGCTTGGCCTCGGGGAGGAAGGGGAAGAAGCGGGTCGAAACAGGGTCGAAACACCGAAGGGGCGTGAATGGAATGCAGACCAAATAACAGAATTGAACACATACATGTTCAACCTTACTTCTTGAATCTGTTTGAAATCTGTTTGAGATCTTTGGTGTGAATCTTGATGAAAGCCTGGTAATGAAAACAATCCTGATTCCTCTCAGTGAGACGGTCGCAACCAACCTCCGATGCTCCCGCCTTGGGCTTGGCCTAGCAACAGGTTCACTCGCCGGGCACGTCTGGCAAGTTCAGAAATGCCAATACACCCAGTTCACACAAAGACACCTGCTTTGGCCTCTTTTTCCATTCTTGTGCTTCTAGGGATGGACATAGCCCATCTGACATGGCCCGGGGCCACTACACCAGCTCCCAGTCCCAACAGCTGCGGTGAGACCGCAGCCCGCCCTGCGGCCTTCGGGGGTAAACCCCCGCGGCGGCCACCCGTCGAAGGTTTTGGGCAATTGGACTGCTAGGTCACTAGGTATGGAATTACGCCGAGCTGCACCAAGCCGATCTGGCCTGCACTCTTTCCAATCTGACCCGTGACCCCGCACGCGCTGTGATCTGCTCCGGTCAGAACATGGGTCGTCGCAGAAATTCAGATCTGATAGAGGTGCAGATTTCTTCCATGTCCTCCAGTCCACATCCAGTCGACCTCCATCCTTCGGTCTTGCTAGCTGCTAAGCATGTCCAGAACTTATGCCACGTTGCCATGCTGCGGAGGTGGGTATGGCCCGTCTGAGTCCAAGCGTCCAGCGTTTCAACCGCCAGGTCTACTCCAATCATCCGCCGGGTCTCGTGGAGGCCTTTGAGGTGTCTGGCAACGAAGACGCGGAGGTTCGCCGTTCCGCAGAGCCCTTCCGGCCACGACCGGTGCCTCAAAAATCATAGTCCAAGTCCTTAGAATCTGCCACGAAGGGCTGAACTTCCAAAGCTTGAACATCTGTGCCCCCGAAACCGAGCCCGAAAACTTCAAGATGCTTCAGAGGCATGTTGTTGCAAGAACCTTCCCTGTCTCTTGATGTTTACGGGTTGCCAGGGCTCATGTGGCAAGGAAGACTTGATCACCAGCACGAGGCTGTCCTTCGCCGCCAAGAGGAAGCTGGGTTGTTGAACCAGCTGCAACGGCAACAGCGAGGCGAGACCGCAGGACACCATGCCACGCAAAGTCACCGCCACCGTGTCCACCTAGTTCGGGAACTTCGATGGACGGTCGAGGCTGACGGCCGACCGGTCGTCTGGTCGATCACCGTCGGTCGATGACGTGGGTGTGTCCTTTGTGTTGCTGTTGCACTAAAAAAGCAAAAAACGCGTGCACGTTCGTTTGCACTTTCATATGTCATGTGCACGTTCTTTGTTGATGTTTGTTTCATGTGTCGATATCAGGTGTTTCTGATTGTTACCTTGTTGCGGATTGTTGGGGATGCCATGATCGTTTCGAGCCACTTCTAGATGGTGGTTTGCTCCCCTGGAGTCTGATTCGACCAATAGAAAGGTCAACTGGTCGTGCGGGGGGGGGGCCAGGTGTTCTGAAACTCTGTCGTGGGACAGTCTGGGGTGGGTCTCATCCCAAAGTGCTGGGTCAAAACACTAAGCAACCACTTCCCTATTCCCCTAAGTCATTTGATAGCAATGCAGTAAAGCAATCAAGTTCCAAAGCTTACTCGGCAGCCAGCAGCCATGTTGTTCGGCGGATCATTTCATGTCCACACTCTGTAAGGAAATGTCAAGATTTCTGCAGGACAACAGCAAGCACTCTTCGTTTGATGGCCATTCCCCTCACAAAGACCTGAACAAGTCAGTGATGTTCCCAAAAATACTCCTTCAACTTCATTGACTCCAACACCAAACGCGCAAACGACTCTAAACAAGGCCCCCGAGGCGCTCTGGGGTCCAGCTCCAGTTGCTGTCCGCTCGGCAAGCGGATGATTTCCAGTTCCAACCAGCCATAGGGCGAGTCGAAGTGGAGCCCTAAGTCGAGGACATGGACCCGAGAAAAAAAGAAGGTGGTTCTGAAACGTGAAGATCCATCCCAACCAAGAACGAGTGAGTTCCGACCTCACGTGATGAAGGAAAGATGTGCCTTGCTTTTGATAGCATCTGTTTGACTGTTCTGCTGACCGCCGGACCCGGAGTTCCGGGTGTTGGGGGATGAGGCTCCAGTTCTATCAGCGACCGACCCGGAGAGGCAGCAGAAATTTGGGTGGCAGTGGTGTCAATTCCACCACTGGTGATGTGACGTTTTGTGGTTTGGGTATGGTTGGGGGTGTGGTTTGGTGGTGGATTGGCAGCTTTCTAACCCTCATCAGCCACCCTCTGGCCTGGAACCTTCAAAGATGTTGCAAGAATCTCTGACCGTGCCGGCCCGTGCCGAGCGAGCCGCGCCGACCCGGTCGCCTTCTTTTCAGGTCTCACTGGAGCTATCGGACTCTGACTCCTCATCAACAGAGTCTAAGGGGTCGACGCTGGTGCGGGAAGAGCTCCCGCAGCCCACGACCCGACGCAAGAAGAAGTCAGCTACAAGTCTGCCACAGGGAAGCTTCAATGCACCGCGAATACCCAATGCAGCAAAAAGCCAGGCCACAAGCATAGAAATATAATACAAAATCCAAGCAGCTGAGAGTAGGGGGCCCTTTGTCAGAAACCCAACCGCCACACGGCATAGAAGGCTTGGAGCGACAGTCTTTGCCATGACATTAAGCATCCAACATCGTTCGTCGATGGAACGTCTGAAGAGCAAGGTCAAGAGACTCAGCCTCGCAAACAGGGATACAAACTGCAAGGACCTTGGATACCAAAGGACACCTGTCACATCCTCGTCTGTGTCAAAGACCCGAACGGCAAAGTGGCCCATCAGAAAACATTCCATCGCCACCCCAGGGCCCAGTACCAGCACCGGGATCGCCCACTGAATGACCCCCGCATGTTGGAGTTCGACACCCTGCAAATATGCATGGCGAAGGGCATCCGATGTCATACCAGCTTTCAGCAGAACCTGGATGACCTTGTCGACTTCATCGCGTTGGTCGCTGATTTCGGTCCAGATGTTTTCCTCGTCTTGCACCTCTGAGCATGCTGCATGACGAAATGATCCTTGAAATTCATTCCGCAATTCCGCTTCTGCATCCAGGTCTGCTTGCCAATTCACGCTGTCAACTTCGGAGAGCAGGAAATATGCCACTATTTCAGCCCGAGTGAGTGCATCAAGCTCCAGGGTCATAGATGCGGGATGGAGTGGAAAAGCAATATCACTGGCACAGCAAGCTACGGCAACGGCGGCTGCTAGGCCGATGTGGTTCGCAACCAAGCAGAGCTTGATGTGGCCCGAGTTTTGGCTGACCAAGCTGGCTAAAATCGCGAGCACTGTAATGAGACGTACCAAATAGTCATCGATTGGAGTTGTGCTGGCATTGGAAACGCCACCAACAGCAAGACCTATGAAGAGTGCAGGGAACATCCAGAACCAGGAAAACAATACTTGGTCCCACACACGAGGCGTTGCTGTTTGAATGATCTTGTTGCTTTGGAATGCAATGTAGGCTTCATATCCACACCACAATCTCGTATAGACGCTTCTGTGCTGGTTGGGCACAACCAGCATGTACTTGGAGGTCTGCAGAGCCAGTGCAAAAGGGGACGACGATGGAGACTGAAGCAAGGCACCAATATCCAAATGCTGCGGGTTTGCGAGCATGCAGCACCAAGCATGACGTGCAAGCCAGGGCCATGATGCAATCACCTTGCGGGTGAACTCAAAAACACCTTCCTGCCAAGCATGTGAAATAAACAAATCGCAGTCAAGCCCGCGCGGATTCCTCATCAACGCCCAGCTCATTTTGCCAGCAGCCGCTGTGACTGGCATGATGTAGTGTTCATTGACTGCATAGATACTTGGTCCATGTTCTGAATCAGTCTCTGGAAAGGTTTGAGCTCGTAGAGCTCTCTGGACCTCAGACTGGAAGAACTTGAGATCAACGAATGTGATGCACCACTTCGCTGGGGGCACCGTCTCATGGAGCTCAATGGCTCGGTCCGTCGGAAGTCGCTCCCGACCCAGCAGCTGGTCCACCTCCGCGCTCGGGCATGTGAGGTGGCGCATGAGGGTGGCGCATGAGTGTTAACATGGAGCTATACTTCTTTGAATAGCTGGAGCCAAATGCGTGAGCATGCTGAGATCGAAACACTATGAAACATGTTTCCAAGGTGTCTCTCGTCATGTTCAGAACCCTTTTGGGCGATCTGTGGATGAGGAGCTGTGGTGTTGGATGAGGATTTGTGGCTCATGATTTCGCTTGAGGTGATGGTGACAGACCGTGCAAAAGAGGTGATCTGTCACATTTGGGAAGTGATTCCAAGCACTTGAGTGATAAGTTCTGATGTTCGGTTCAGTGATAAGTTCTCTTCACATCGGATCACCAGTGATGTTTCTAATGCGACTTCAGCTGATGCGACTTCAGCTGGCCATGGTGTGACCCCAGGGGCGGAGTTGCTTCACAGCTGACGGGGAAACAACTCACTCGCGGGGCGCGTCCTAGGTCCTAGGTGTTGTTATCGTTGTTGAACCAACAAGATCAGAAAGAAAGGCCATCTTGCAGCGAGCTTCGCTGTGCAGCATCGCCATATTTCAGCATTCTGACTTCGGAATCGCTGCTTCGTCCATTCGTCCTGATGGATGCGGTTCGTCCACAGAGCACTGGGAAGGTTTGATTTTGTGTGGCAGAATCAACAATGCCATCCAGGACCTGAAACTAGATGGGCGGCAATTGCACGATTGTTTTCGGCATGTGAGATGCTGAATTTGGAGGTCAGTCAACATGTGTGAGCTTCAAGCGTGTCAATCGGGAACCCACGTAGAGAATACCATGGAGATATGGCGTACCATGGAAGTGCTCTTCTAGCGATGTGGAGTTTCGGCCCTCCACCACCTCTCTACCCTCCAGCTGCGGCACATGGACCGCCCAGCACTCATCCGTAGGATCTGCACGCTGGGTTGGTCCACGGCCACCGAGTGGGTCACGACGCCTGCATGGGGAGTATGAGCTCCGATGAGCTCCGATGAGCTCCTGGGATCCCAGGATGGGGAGGTTGACCCACCTGGAGCCCGAAGGTCGTGACCCACCTGGAGCCCGCGAGCGACCGACCGACCGCGAGTCCGACGTAGGTCAAGCGGTCGAATTGCTGGTGCCAAGACACGGCTGTTAACACGTGAG